CCTGCCACTGTGACCCCACTCCCTTCTGGTTGAATCGATCTTCTTCCACCTTCTTCCAGAGACAATTTTCCCCCTTCCTGTCTCTCATGACTCTCATGCTGGTCACTGCTGTGCAGGTAATTCCCTGCTGTCCCTTGGATGCTACCCTCTCTGCTGAACTTGAACTGTTTATATTGCACACCAGATGTTTCCATTTGGATATCCTGTCATCATCTCAAACTGAGCATGTGTAAAACTGAGCCTGTCTCCCCCTCCCAGTTTCTGTTTTTTCTGCCCATGCACAGCATCAGCTTTCTCTTACCCATCCAAGCTCAAAACTTGTCAGATCTTATGCCCCCCATTCTTTCCCTCCCAGACACAAGTCATGACAGCTTTCTTTTCACCATCTTTTACTGTTCCTTAATCTTCTCATTGTATCTGCTAAGATAGGGTCTTACCACCCCATGTTTTAGATATTTAATAGCTAATCACATCATCTTCTTGCCCACAGCTTTTATCCCCTGGTCTGTCTTTCATGCCTGGTCGGACAGATTTTCCAGGATGATTTCTTTTATCTTATCTCTCTTGTCCTGAAACATTCCCATCACCATAGATACAGATACAAGCTCCTTGGGCTAAGGTTCAAGAGCCTATTTTGGCTCCAACCAGCTTCACTGATATTATATAATACCAACTACTCAGGAGACTGAGGCAGAAGGATCTCAAAGTGGAAGCCAGCTGGACAAATGGGCAAGGTCCTATTTTAAGAGAAAAAAAGGGAAGCTGGGCATGGCGGCATTAGCTTATAATTCCAGCTCTTGGGAGGCTGAGGCAAGAGGATCACTGTGAGTGCAAGGCCAGCACAGCGAAACTGTCTCAAAAAGAAAACAAGCGGAGGGGCTGGGTATGTAGTTCAACAGTGGAGCACACTTATGTTCTCTCCCCAGAATCACTCATCCAACACACACACAGAAGAGCACCAGCTCCGCACCCAGACTTTGGGTCAAACCCCACGTGTTGAGTGACTGTGCCATGTGTAATTTCTCTCCTGAAATTCCCCCTTTTCTCTCCCTCTCTCTCTCTCTCTCTCTCTCTCTCTGTCTCTGTCTCTGTCTCTCTCTCTCTCTTTTCAGTTTTTTTGGCACAGGGTTTCCCTAGATAACCTAGATTGGCCTCGAATTTTTGCCTCAGGCTCCTGGTTGCTGGGATTACAGGTATGTACCATCATGCCCCGAATTTACTCTTTAAAAATCATTGGATAAGAAATGTTGTATGCCTGTTTATGATCCCAGCACTCAGGAGGCTGAAGCAGGATATCAACAAAAGTTCAAGGCCAGCCTGGGATACATAGTGAGTTCAAGGCCAACCTGACCTATATAGCAAGACCCTGTCTCAAAAAAAAATTTTTTTTAAAAGAAATTTTGTAGTTGTTTCTGGGCTGAGAGTGAGGCTAAAATGCACATAGGCCAGTGTTGGAAACACATAAATGCTCAGGTGCCAGCTTTTGGTGGCATTGGTCCTAAAGTGCATTCTGTGCCCAGTACACCTTACCCTGACCACCCATGCCAGCTGCTCAGCCCAGTCCTCCATCTGGAGTGCCATTCACTGCCCACCCATACTGTGTACTTGCATTTCCTTTTGGGAAAATCATTGTAAGTATTGCTGCAGTGCTGCTCAGACTGAGCTAGGATGTGACAGATGTATCATGGGGCAAACAAAGCCAGCCATAGGCCACACATACACATCTAATTGTATCTGTTTTTATGTTGAAGCAATCTATTCTAGACATAACACGGAGTGCAAAACTGGCAGATTTCAAAGATAAAACATGAAGCTACTAAGAATGTTCAGTGTGTCAGGTCTGCACCCTTTGTACGGTGGGAAGGTCCAGGAAGCAGGGATCCAATGAGCTCAGGAATGGGTGCAGATCAAGTGAGGCAGGGCACTTGGGGGTCAGGGGGACAGTGAGAGGTACCCATCGTCTCTGCAGCGCATGAGGGAGGCCCCTGTGGCCCCACCCACTTTTCCCTTCCAGTACCCTCACACTTGGCTCTGTGGTGCTCCTAGGTTGCCTGGGGCAGCACTTGTATTACAAGGGTCTTTAACTCTCCCCATATGTAAGCCTTATCTCAGCAACTCCATCTTAAGCATCTGGAGCACAGGTGTGGAGTGGCTAGATAGGGAGACAGCTTGGCAGTGAACTCCCACCCTGGTGTTTACTGATTGAGCAAGGCACATTTCCTCTCAGCCTCAGTTTCCTTATCTGTAAAACACAGCTAATGCTTCCCTGATGAAATTGTTCTGAGAGTTCGAGTAAATAACATGCCCTTATGTGCAGCGCAGCAGATGGCATGGGGAGCCACCAAGGGCCATGCTCTTGGTAAACATCTGCTTCTCAAATATTCCCATCCCCCAGAGTGCCCCTTCCCCGCAACTACTGTGCCTGCTCTGCCTCCTTCCTGTCACAGTGGAGACACCTACAGAAGGCACCCTCCCCTGTGTCCTAGTTCCTGGTCCTCTTGACCTTTACTCCTGGGCCTGCTGCCCTGTGTTCTGCAGCATTATGCCCCCTTCCTGTTGGACACTCTCTTTACTGTATGACTGGGCTGCATTATCACTGCATCTAAAACAAAAGACAAACAAAACCTCCCTTAACCCCACTCCTTTCTAGTGACCACTCCAGTTCTCTGCTCCCTATTCAGTAAAAAATCCCTGAACGAGTTGGTACTTCTGCTGCCAGTCCAGATCGTCTGTTACCCATCACTACACAAAACTGCTCTTATCAAAGCCACCACTTATCTCTGCACAACTGAATCCAGCAGACTGTTCTCAGCCTGGCACTTGACCAGCCTCTTGGGAACATCTGAGACCTGAAGCCCTCTGCCAGCCCCTCCACTCCCTGGTCTTTCTCTGGCCTCATTGGCGGCTCTCATCTCATTTGTTTCATGCCTTCTACTTGGCCTGAGCATAGACCACCTTAGGCTGTCCCTAGATCAGTTCTTATTTCTACATTCACTCAAGTAATCTCTTGCACTCTTGTGGCTTTAAATGCCATCTAAAAGATCCCCAAGGTTAGACCTCAAATCTGGACCTCCGCAGCATGCTACACTTATGTGTCTTCTAACAAAGACCCATCCTAACGGCATTATGTCACAGACACTTCAATTCCAGCAGGTCCAAAAACCAAACTCTTGATCTCCACCCTGACCTTCCCTTCCTACAGTCCTTCTACTTTAGCAAGGAAAGCTGTGTCCTTCCAGTCACTCAAGCCAAAACCTGCAGAATTATCCTTGGATCCTAAATCTTAAATTCCTCAATCCAGATGAGCAAGCTCTCTCTTCAAAATACAGAAAGAATCTGGCCACTTGTCACCACCTCTATCTCGCTATTCTGGTGCCTATCACTGTCACTTCTCGCCAGACTGACTCCAGCGGTCTCCTGAGCTGCTTGGCTACTGTCTTCCCCCAAGTGCCACAGTTTGTTCTCCCACAGCTGCAGTCATGTTTTCATAATGTAAGTTCAATGATGTCATTGTTTAAAGTGCTCCAGTGCCTTCCCCTCTCACTCAGAAGAAAATCCTGAATTCTTATCATGGCCTGAAAGACCCTATGGGGAATGGCTTGCCATCTGCGTGGCCCCAGTGGCCCACCCCTTACTTCCCTGACCTTGGCTGCACTGGCCTCTACGCTGTTGTGTAAACAGGATGGAAATGACCCTGCAGTGAAGACTTTCTCCTTGTTTTTTCTGTCTGGAACATACAGATGTATGCCTTGACCCTCACTTTAAGTCTTTGCTCAAATGCCCACCTTGGCAGAGTGCCCAACTTTCCTGAAATAGCACTTCTAGCATTGTCTGGTGCCCTGTGGTCCCTAATCCTGATTTTCCTTTCCACTGACCACTGCCTGACACATTTATCTTCCATGTTTGTTTTTTCTATCCCTTTGCCATCAGTAACACCCTATGGGGACTTTTGGTTCCTGGCAGACAACATGTGTGAAGGCCAAGCATGATGGTGCACCCTGTAATCCCAGAACTCTGGAGGCTAGGGCAGGAGGATTGCTTTGAGTTTGACACCAGCCTGAGTTACATAGTGAGTTCAAGGCTAGACTCTGTAGGGAGACCCTGTCTCAAAAACAAAAACAAGTGGAAAAAAAAATGTCATCATGTGCTGGGCAGGGGCCTGGTGTTAACTGGAAGAGCCTGATACTGTGTGGCTTCTGTTGTCTGCCCTACCACTTACCTGCTGTGTGCTTTTGGATAGCTCTTCTTATCCTCTCTGGGCTTTAACTTCCTTTTCTGTAAAATCCACCAAAAGATTTTTAAAGAGGAATAGAGAACACATTAAAAGTCAGTAGGATGGGGGCTAACAAGGCACTTGGCCCCTCTCTAGGCTGCTTGCAAGGAGTAAATGTGTAGGGCTGTCTCCATCCAGCATGGGTTTGTGAGTTTGAGGCTAGCCTGGGCTACATAGCAAGACCCTGTCTAAAACAAAAAACAATTTATGCCACATAGAGGGTGACAGAATCCATTTTCCATGTTGTGCCCTGACCCACAGTCCCCTAAGCATTGTTCTTGCTAACAGCTATTTCCCTTCTAAGGGCCCTCTGTGGCCTTATCTGAAGCAGGTCCTACAAGTTGAGACTCTCTGCTTTGCTTTGGATAGAAGTACCCAGATAGGGGAAGCAGAGGTGTTTTCTGGGCATACATAGGTCCATCTGGACTTATGATCCATGGCCCCAGACAGTGAATTCTTCTCTACCAAAGCACCCGTGTTTGTGAGGTGGCCAACACTGGCCACACTAGGCCTGCGAGTCCAGTAGGTTTTTCCCTGCTGGTTGGTAGAAGGTGCCTACAGTGGTTCTCCTGTGTGCCACTAGGGGGCACTAGAGATTGATCAGCTCTAGAGATAACTTTGGGTCAGTTAGGGTTGGAAAAGAGGAGTATTGCTGGCTGTCCTGCCCACTAACTTGGCAGAGACTGCCAACCAAAGCAAGGCCACATCAAGGGAATGGAGGTCGGGATTTCAGACTCAATGTACTTTATTGTAAGCAGTAGTGAACCCCTTGCCCTGTGAGCTCAGCCAGTCCTGCCCTCAGATTGCCAGTGTTTGGTGGGAAGTGCATCTTTGCCTTCTGATTCATCTGCTCTGCACAAGGCTTTGCCACACCATAGGTCATGGCCAGGTCCTCATTCCCAGTGACCACTGTCCATCTTGGAGGTGCACAGGCCTCGGAGGAGGCTGTTGGAGTCTGCTGGTTAGATGGAGGGGCTGATACCTCCAGACTCAGCTACCAAATAGTCTTTCATAGCAGAACTGAGCTGAACAGCAGAAACTAGTTGTTTTCTTCTTTCCTGAAGTTCTCAGTAGCGAGCAAGTGTGTCGAGGGCAGGATGGCCTGGTGGTACCTCAAAAGGGATAGAGATGCCAAAGGCTTTGGAAGATAGGAATACCAAAAAAAGAATCAGTTAAAAGTCCCGTGATGGCATTTTACCACCCCCAGTTCTTTTCTTTTCTTTTTTGGTACCAGGAATTGAACTTAGAACCTCACACTTGCCAAGCAGGCACTGTATCACTAAGCTATATCCCTGGCCCAACCACCCCTAGTTATTAGCTATTGTCTATAGTCTTGGCAAACCCCTCAGTACTAAATAGTTCCTTGGACCCTAGATGCATCCTTCCCCCACCAGTATGTCAGAGATAAGAGTTAACATATTTTCCTGAAACTGGCACCTTGGAGAACCTTGTTTGCCTGCTCAGCAAGGACCCCCACACCTGTGTCCATTTCTCCCTTAGGCCAAGGGAGCCCCCACCCAGGCCAGCAGGGTAGCAGTGCCTAGAGAAGCCCATGTATTCCCTGAAAGCCATCCAGCCTGTCCTGACCTGTATTGGAAGCGAGGGTCTCCAGGGTGGCTCTTCAGCACCTGACACACCTCCAGGGGTGGCTCCAAGCCCATCTGCTTTGCTCTATGCCAGCGCTGTAGCCGTGTGATCCCTGCCAGGGTGCAAAGAAAACTCAGAAGCCTCGAGGAGCATTGAAAAACAGTCCAGGCTAGAGAAGGTGTGTGTGTGTGTGTGTGGGTCCTCAAGAGCCTCCACAGCCCCCAACCTCAGAAGCAGTGCCTGAGTCAGACATTAACAGTGTCTTGTGGATAATACTGGGTCATTTTTCAGATGTGTGGGTGAAAGACTGGCTCAGAGATGCGCTTGGTGGGCAGGGTGAATTCTCACCTGTGCAGGGCCCGTACTCCCAGGCCAGGTCAAACTGCCGCAGCAGCTCCAGTTCTGCATGTTCCTCGCTGGGGGGCTGGGGCTCTTCCCCTGCAATGACACGCTGCTCCTCAGGCCTGCTCAGGCCTTTGCCCTGGCCCTGGCCTCAATAGTTGTGCCACTGTTTCTGGCTCTCTCCCCACCCCTTTGCCTCTGTCCTTTAGCAACAGGACCTTAGACCTTGGGTCAGAAGTAGAGTACGTGCTCACTTCCCCTTCCGTCTGGCCCCCACCTACTATGTGGTCCCTGCGTTTCCAGTCCTTCTGCCACCCCCATGCTTCAGAGACCTAGTTCTGGTGCCAGCTCCCCCTTGCTGTGCCCAGCGGGTCCCTCCCTCCTCTTCACAACCGGGTAGGAGTCTGTGATGAGCCGCTTCCGGCCCATGGTGGCCACCCAGGCAGGAGGAGGCGACTGCGGGGAAGAAACAGGCCAGCGGGCGTGCGAGAGACAGCTGCTGAGACACAGAGAGAGATGGGGCCAGAGAGAGAGATGGGCCAGCGACGGGCAGACAAGATGACCCAGACAAGCGAAAGAGGAAATCTCCAGGTTCCAGAGAATGACGCTTGTCCCCCGCCCCCACAAGAACGCACTCATACAGCCCTAAGCCAATGGCAGGCCGCCTCTGTGGGGCGGGGCCCTGAGTCTAGCCAATAGCGGGAGCCACAGGGTGAAGGGCGGGGCAGCTGCCCAGCTGTGTTCTGGGGGAGGAGGGGTTAGGCCAGGGTGGGAGACCTGTCAAGATGCCCCAGACTTCACCACCTACTCTTACCCCCATTGGTCTACATAGGTCCCCGGGGACTTGCGGAGCGTTATCCTCAGCCTCTCACTTCCCGTTTTCCCTTGCTAGGCAAATGTTCTTTTCAACCTCACTAATCCCCGTGGCCGGTTTGTAACTCCCCTGAGCCCAGCTGGAACCTTCCACTCTGACCCTTTGGCTGCAGAGCACTGTGGGGGCAGATCTGGAGGTCCGAAAGAGTTTGGCCTAACCCAGCTCCATTCCCAGCTCTTACCCCACCCTCACTGACTCCAGGAGACCTGGCTGGAGAAGCCTATGCATTCTGAAAGCGCCTTTCTCACAGTCTGCGCCCAGAGACACTGCCCACTCCTAGTCCAGTCAGGCTGTTGCCTTGTTGGCCCTCCCACAGCCTGCCCCAGCCTGCCCCAGCCTGCCCGATTAGTAAGGAAGATTCTATATCAAGCAGGAGGCCAGAAGATGTGTAGTCCCCCATCATAATGTGATTGGGTCCCTAGTTCTTCACTGGCCATATCTCTCTTGTGCGTATAAGCATAAGATATCAATCACCTTAACCCTCATAGTGCTCTTACACATGCCAAGTACTTTTCTAAGCCTTTCACACATACTCAAAATAGACATCAAAAATTTTTTTGAAAGTAGGAAGCATAGACATACTATTGCTAACAGGCTTAGTGGGGCCCCCATCAGACCCCAAAATCTTTTTTGTGCTCACAGGTTACAGGTAGAGGGGCTTCACAGTTGTCAGTGTGTGAGCTGTAATTCCTAACAGAAAAGAGAGAAAGGGTGGGTCAGAGCTCCGTGGAGCCACAAGAGGATTAGCATCAAAGGCCTTTTGGAAGAGGTGGGCTGCTGTAAACAATGTGTCTCAGTTCTCCACCCATGACCTTTGTCTCTAGGGCTCTTGTCATCGCTGACTCACCCCTACTCTCACCTCCCCCTCACCAACTTCCTGGCAGCAGGCAAAAGTGCTGGCCAGTAGGAGTCTGGGAACCAGCACTGGGACCAGCCCAGCACTAATCACCCTCTAGAAATCCCATCCGATTCTTCCTTCCGGGGTACATGGGCCAGTGCTTGCTCAAAGGCTTCTGCCTTTCTGTTTTTTTGCAGGTCTGGGATCTTGGAATAGAGGAGAATGGTTTGGAGAGGAGACCACCAGAGGGGAAGAGCAGTTGTGTATTAGGGGTCCTGTTCTTGTCTAACTCAACCCATCAGCTTCATCAAGGTGCCAAGGCTAAGAAGGAAGAAGCCGTGTGTGTACAGCACAGAGGGCCCCTCCCTCCTTTGTTGTTTTGGCTCTGGTAGTCTAATCTCCCCATCTGCCTCTTAGGCTAAGCAGAACGCACATCCAGGTGGAAAGGTCTCTGCTGAGTTGAACAGTACAGTAGAGAGGCCCCTTCCATCAGTTTGGGAAGTTGCTGGGTCTAGGTAGGCACTGAGTGCTTGCTTGGTAGAGACACAGCACCCAGGCTGTGCAACAGACCGCCCATCCCTGAAGAGCCTCTGTGAGGGGCTCTTGGGCTGTTTTCACAAGTGTATGGCACCTACCACCTGAGTCCACAGAGCCTTGAGGGAATAGAGAGCAGTGGGTGGGGCAGACCCCTCCTCATTCCTGGTTCCTCCCACCCCTGAAAGCTGATAGCCGTGGGGCCTGCCACCGCCCAGGGAGCGTGAAATGGGGTATGCCCTGGGCAGCCGCAGCAGCTCCCACCACTGCCTCGGCCTATTTCTTTCTCCCCGTGGCAGCCACTGGCACCCTGACCTACTCTGTGGATGCCTCAGTGACCAGCCTCTGTCCCTGCCTGTTTCCCCCAGCTCTGTCAAGCTCAGGGCAAGCTAATCTCTCCCACTCAGCCCAGAAGATGTCTCCTGTGAGCTTTAGCTCCTCACCCGGGCCCCAGAAAGACAGACACAGTGATCAGCATGAGCACAGAACTGCTAAGACTGGCCTTCTGGCCTGGGGTTGAAGGGACACTCCCCAGCCAGCATGTTCTCCTCTCCTAGTCAGATGACAGTAGTACTGCACCCCAGTGGAATAGTTGGCATATAGGGAATTTGGAACCATGCCTGACCTTCTAAGATCCTTCTTCACTCAGCATCTGGACCCGTAAGGGATTCCAGAAATCAGTCTGGGCCCTCAACCTGTCACACCTTAGGTCTTTCCTCATTTACTCTCCAACCCCTTTCCTCCCTGATATCCTTTCTGTCTAGAACCCTCTTCCCTTCCTGCTTAAGCGGCTTCCTGGGCCTATCACAGTCCAGGCCTTTGAGTGGAGTCCAGGCCAGGCTCTGAGTATGGAGCCAAGTTCTCTCCTTTGGGGAGTGCTCAGATGCTCACATATATGTTCTTTGTTTCAGCCCTGACACCACAGACTGGTGAAGGGACCCTTAAGAGTAAGCTTTGCATGTTGGGAATACCTCATGTTTTTGCTTCAAGGCCAAGTTGAAAGTTCTGAGGATCCCAGGAATGAAAAACTGAAAGAGAAACCCAGTGCCTTCCTGGGGGTTGAGGACCATTGCTGACTGCTCTAGGGAAAGGGGGATCAGCCCTGGTTTAGCTCAGGCTGAGCTTAGATGATGAGGCAGGATGGAGGAGTAGCAATTGCACGTGCTCTTAAGGCCTTTTTCTCTCCCCTAGCTCATCATGGAGCTTGTGAGGAGAGCCAGGTAAAACTGGGAAAGGGGAGGAAGTAGCTGCCTGTGCCCCAGAGGGCTGTAGGGCATATTCAGCTCTGCTCTCCTCTCTGGAGCATCCCCCTTCCTCAGTCCCTCTGACACTGCCACCCACCCTGAGCTGGGTATCAGGGGATTCTGGGCTGCCAGATGAACACCCTCAAGTGCCAACTGAACATACACCCTGGCCCCATTCTGTACCCTGTGGACCAGATTCTTTCAATCCTGATCCAGATTCTCTGGCTTGGTGGGCTTAAAAGGAAGAAGCTGGAGAAAAGGAAAGGCTCCCCCTTGGTCTCTAGTGTGCCTTCTTCCCTGCCTCTGCCATCTTCTGCACTTTTTCTGGTCCCCTTTTCATTTACCTAGGCCATCCTAGTCCTGGATAAATATTGGAAGATTTGAAAGGGGGTCTAGAGGCCATTCCTCACCTTGGCCACCAGGTGTCAGACTTTGTCTAGCTGGAAAGAAGATCTTAACTAACACCGGCTTCCCCCTTCAGCCAGCCTGGGAGGTCAGGATAAGTTGGGAAGAGCATAGAGGTGACCCCTGAACCAGTGAGGTCTAGGCCAAGGAACCTAGAGGCTGAGAGTCCAAGGGACTTCAGAGTGTTTTCACAGGCCCCACCACCCACTGACTAGAGCTTTGTCTCCTGCTGTGTACCAGGCTGAGTCAGGGAGCTCAAGAGTTGAAGAGACAAAGGCATCAACAGTTGTGGCTCCAGAGAAGTGGGAGCTAAGAGGAAGCTGCCCATCAGAGCACGCAGCCAGGCCTGCATCACTAGCCCCTGCTTTTTAGGCTAAAGAGAACAGGGGCCTCTGGGTGCTTTCCCCATTCTCAGGACCGGGCCTGGGCTGTGGTAATGTGATGAGTGGTGGGGCACGCTGGAATGAGCCTCCTCACATCCTAAATCCTAGATGTTGGGTCAGTTTTGCATCAAGGTCTGATGGTTGCCACCTCCCATTCTGCCTCCTCTGTACCCACTGCTACCCTCCAGGCAATTGTCACCTCTCCCAATGGACAGGGTTGTGTTTGTTTTCTCAAACTCAAGTGTACTTTCAGACACCAAAATGACCGGTTTCTAATCTACATTCTCTCCCTTCTTCCTCCTTTTTAGCCTGGAGTAGGGCAGAGGCGTTCTAGAAATAATGCCCTACACACACTGCAGAGCCTCAGGTAATGTTGATTAATATCTGACCTCTGGATACATAGACTCCTGGCTCTAAGGCCACAGCCTCCCAGGTGCTGGGATTACAGGAGTGTGCCACCAACGCCCAGCTAAAGCCATACTTAAGGGGTAAAACCTAGGTAGCCTGAGAGAACTCATCATATCTCTTGAGGCAGTTGTATTTAGAGAACCAATGACAGGTGCACCAAAAACACTAGTGACCTATCATTTAGCAAGGGCTTCCTGTCCAATGGTTACAGAAATTTTACCCTGTGGAACACAGTGCAACAACTCAGAGGACGGACCTATACCCCTGTTGCTGTGATTATGAGCTATTTGGGGGAGAGTTGAAGAATTCAAGCTCTAAAAGGTTTGTGCTAGTATTGTTCAGACAATTAAATGCAGATATCTTATATTCAGAGTAACTGATTTGAAGATAATAATGTGCAATGTATATACCATTGTTACCCCTAATTATTGTTTTGAAATTTTGTTTCTTTTTCCTCTCTCTTTAAAATAAAATAGATTTGAAAAATAGTGAGTTCAAGGCCATCTCAAAAAAAAAAATCAATACCAAAAACCTGGGGCCAGGGATTTAGCTCAGTGATTCAAGTGCTTGCTAGGTAAGCACAAGAAGAGCTGGGGTTGTAGCTCAGTGGTTAAGTAACCTGGATGGAGGAGGGGGGACTTCAGTCTCTTAAGTGCCCTCTCTGCTCGTGCTCCAAGGCACACCCTTTGCACCCTTATGACAGAGAACTCCAATACTCCCTGCATGTATCACTCTCTAATCAGCTTCCTTCTTGTTTTTCTCTACTGCCTATCCTGCCTGCACCTTGTGGCTCAGTGGTTCAGTCAACATAACAGTTCCTAGTGTTGTAGAATCCCTTAATACTCTGCTGTTCCTACCTCACCGGTCCTCAGCCTTGGAAAATGCCCTCTTCACTCTATTACTGCCTTTGGCCACCTCAGGCTTAGTAGGAAAGGTCACAGTTCATGCCAAATGGGCTCCTAATAAAGATAGGTCTGTTCTCCAGGCATGGTGGCACACACCTGTAATCTCACCACTCAGGAGGAGGATCACCATGAGTTCAAAGCCAGTCTGGGCTACGTAAGCAAGTTCAAGATAAGCCTGCTACATAGTGAGATTCTCCCTCAAACTACCTCACCCAAATAAGTCTGCTGGCATTCTCTGGTTCTCCTTTATGGCTGCCCAGCAAGCCTTTGGCTTTTCCTCTCGTTGTCTCCTTACCTCTCCAGTCTTCTCCAGCCACTATCACCTCACTCCACAATAGATGTTTAGATATCTTCTCTTTATATTTTTATTTTATTTTATTTTAGTAGAATATATTTATTGAGAGAAAGAAAGCTTCTGTCTGAGAGAGACAAAAGGGGTCTGGACCAGGTTGCCTGATATCTTCTCTTTACACCAAACTCAGAGGAAATGTTATTTCCTCCTCTCACACCATATCCTTCTTGGTCTCATACTTTTGTGTCTGCCTGTCATCCACTTTCCTACCCTGTGACTTCCTAACCACCAAAGCCAGTAGATTTATCTCCATAGTCTTCTCCCAGTTCCTGGAGGGCATCTGAGACTGCCTCCTTCCAATTCTTCTCTCAACTTCTAAAACACTCTTGTTTTGAACTCATTAAATCAGTTTAAATCAAATTAACAAGGACATTACAGTACTAGGCATTGTGCTAAAATGCTGTCAGGATGCAAAGATGAACAATCCTGGATCCTACCCTGAAGACACTACCCACATGAAAAGGAAGCAAACAGGCATAATCGACCTCCATCCTGCCTCCTCTGCACCTTTCTGGATTCTGGCCTCCTCCCAGGCTGGTATTAAATCCCTTCTGGTGCATTTGTGCAAAAAGTGACACTGAGCACTCTCTGTGTGCCAGGGACTGGAAATATGGTGATGGCCCTGGATATTGCTTTCTCCTCTAGCAATTCCAGCCTAGGGCCTTCATTTCACTAGATGCTTTGCCTTGTACCCTAGCATTTGGAGGAGGTATTCATTCTTCTTTTTTTTTTTTTTTTCATCAAGGTCTTGCTGTGTAGTTCACGGTGACCTTGAACACACTATGTAACCCAGACTGGCCTCAAGCTTGCAGTGATACACCTGCCTCAGACTCGCAAGTGCTGGAATCCCAGGCATGGACCACCACATTTGGCCAGCATTGAGACGGTACTCAAGGCTTCATGTAGGCTAGGCAAGCCCACCCCACCTTTTGTTTTTGTGTTTTTTGTTTTTTTGAGACCAGATCTCACCAAGTTCCCCAAACTGGTCTTCAACTTTTAATCCTTCTGCCCCAGCTGTTAGGTAGTCAGGACTACAAGCATGTCTTTTCTAGATTATTCTATACACTAAGGGAACTTTTTTTTTGTACCAGGGATCAAACTCATGACCTCATGCTTGCTAGGCAGATGCTTATGCCACTGAGCTAAATCCCCAGCCCCCATGAACATTTAGAACATTTTTTTATTTAGGGGGAATGTATGAGATAAGGTCTTGCTATATAGTTCAGGCTGGTCTTGAACTCACTGTGTAGCCCAGGCTGGCCTCAAACTCATGACAATCCTGCCTTGGCCTCCCCGGTGCTGAGATTACAAGTGTGCATCACCTCACCCTGTGTAGAACACCTTTAAACTGGAGCCTGAATGAGGTACTGGAATAGAAAACAAAGAGTCAGAGTCTATCCCCAAAATTCTGCATTAAGCAGTGTAGTAATGTATATGCTCCATGAGAACAGGACCCACCATCCTTGTCTGCTGTCTTCCTTACAGCCCCTTGCTTAGTGTTTTGCATAGACCAGGCCATGACACATTTGCCCATGCATGGTAACAGCTCAAACACTTTCTTCTTTCTGTCTTGTTAGGCTAGGAGAGGGCTTGCAGGTATCCCTGGCCATGCCTGGACAGATGTCTCAGCCTATGTAAGTGATGCATGTTCCACTTGGGCCAAGTGATACTGGGACATTCCACAGAGACTGGCTGGCCCACAAGCAGGTCTAGTAGCTCTTGCACCTACACTCTGTGATTTTTTTCTACTGGCTTGTGGACTTCTGAGTACCTCCTCCTCTACACTGCCTACTTTCAAACCTCATTATTTAAGGAAATCTTTTTTTTTTTTTTTTTTTTTTTTGTCTTTTTCCTTTTTATCGGTACCGGGGATCGAACTCACGACTGCCTGCTTGCAAGGCAGGCGCTTATGCCGCTGAGCTAAATCCCCAGCCCCAGGAAATCTTTTCTTCCTACACAGGCTGCAAGTTCTGTGAGGGCAGGAGCCAAGTTGTTTCTGGATTTTTTTTTTTTTTTTTTTTTTTGCTCTCATGTATCAATTAGTAGTGATGGGTAGGTAATTAAATCTTTTATAAAGTTTGTCAACTGACTGACATTACTGTTATCTGTCATTTCCTTGCTTAAGGCCTTATTTTGGGAGACCCATATAAAGTATACATGTGTTATGTGGGATCAGTGAACCCATTAATTTACCCAGTGGCATGAGAGACATGTCCTAAATAATCTGTCATTACAATCTGTAATTACAGTCACCACTACCAGCCCAAGCATCTTTACCTTTATTGTTTCTGTTACCTTTTCCAGCCATCTTATAAGGATATTTAATTATTCCCATTTTACAGATGGAGAAATGGGTGGCTAGAAGATTTCATTCATCGGCTGGCCCAATGGCAGTAGGTTATCAGAACTTATTAACATTAGTGTCACTAAAGTTGGTATACCACACCCCACTGCTAAATTTGACTGGCTTTAAAGAAAAAAAAAAAAAGATTTCATTCATCTAAGGTCATTCAGCTAGCAGCCTATGGAACGGATTTGAGCTTAGGTCACCCCTCAAATAGCATCTATCACATTCTTACTACTTCTCTTTCTCTTGAATATGCTTCTCCTCAGCAAGGTACATGCTGTGGTGGCCCCTGCCCCTTGTCTCTCCTGTGTGCTTCTGGAAGTGTTGTAGGTAAAGAAGAAAGGCCAAAAGCAAAAGAACAAGTAACAGAGAGTTACTTGGGACGGAGACGTGGTACGGTTGGGAAGAGGAGGTGCTAGGTGACACGATGCCTCAGGGCTGGAGAGGAGAGCTGTTCCCTCAAGTGCTCTTGCACCTCCTCTGGGGAGCAGGGCTGGGGGCTGTGGGAACTAGGAGCACCACCATGTGCCCCAGGGGGCCAGGCAAGTCAAAGACACTAAATTTTGGGGCAAGCATTTTATTTGTTAATACAAGAATAGAAATTCTGCAATAAATATCATCTAATAAATAACATCTCCAAATAAATAAATATTAATACAACAAACTTAAGAGTCATGAGTGGGTGGGGCTGGGGGAGCAGGGCCTGGGAGAGCTGCCCCCACACCCCACAATGCTACTGCAATGTAAACTTTCAGGAAACCCGTGGCTGAGCCCGCAGCTACCTTCCGCAGCCCGGGCAGCCACAGATACCCTGGGGAAGGTGGTATAGGAGGTACCTTGATGCCGGCAAGAAAATTCAAGGCAAGGTCCTGATGCACGATGTGGCGCTTTTTTTTGCCACCCTGTGCCACTGACTGCCTTGGTGACTGCTGGGTCTTGTCTGTCCCTGTTCTTCTTTGTCAGTACACCCTCTTCTGGCTTCTAGGCCACCTCTAGTACAGGCCACCTCTTCCATTTTTCTCCCATCTCTTCTTGTTTAGACTCATAGCCATGTTTCCTGAACTGGATGTGCAGAGTTACCAGGGTAGAAGAGCAACATCCATCCAGAGGGGCGAGGGCAGCCAAGGGGCTTCCCCTCAGAAAGGCACATGGGCATGGTGGCCCCTACCCTTGCCTTTCACGTGTGCTTCCTGAAATGTTGCAGGAGGAGCTGGGAGGGCAGGAAGCAGGAGTGGTGAGAGCCTTCCATTCCCTTGAGCATTACCTCTGAAAACAGAATGGTGCCTATGCACCTCTTCTCCAGACCCGTAGGACTCTGGGAGGTGAGCAGATGAGGCTTATCATACCACACCCCGTCCAAGGCCAGGCAGGGACAGGCTCCCTCTGTCTGTCTCCCAGCTCAACAAGTATTGGCATATAGGTTTCTTCCTCCCAGAGTGGGAGCAGGACTTGAAGGGGAAAGGGGGATATAGTAAAGGTCAGAGATCAGAAGCCATGGGCCTCCAGGTGTAGGGTGACCGCAGCTGCTGGAGGCTGCATTTTCTTCTTAAGCCGGTTGAAGTCCTTGGCCGAGCGCCACAGCCAGGTCTGCAGCTCCTTCAGCAGCCAGAAGTCATCCATCTTCTGGAGGAAGTCGCTGTGGGCAGGGCCAGGGGCCCAAGTGGGCTCAGTTCCTGGCAGAGGCTGGGGCAGCGGGTAACCCAGAGCTGCCATGACTCCTGCGATGCTTCCCAGCAGGCCCTGGAGGCTGGTACAGAAATGGGCCAGGCTGCGGCGCAGCTCCGCTGTGGCAGCCTGACGGTTGAGGCCACGCAAGTAACACAGGAGGTGGCTATAGGCCTCATAGTTCTGGGTCAACCGTAGTTTGTCATTGAGGCTTCGCCATACATCCAAGTTGACAGTGGCCCTGGGCAGAGTCTCTGCCCCCAGCCGAGGTGGATTGAAGTCAGGCTCATTGAAAGGAGGCCCCAGGTAGTTCAGCTGTGAAAAGGAGAGGGCGATGGGGAAGGAGGAGGGCAGAGCAGCCAGTGTACACTGAGGAGATACCTGCCCCCAAAGCTTCTATTTCACATGTCCCCTGACACTGGCCCTGTTTGCACACTGGCCTCTCTGTGGGTCTCCCTAAGTTTTTCCAAGGATGCCATTTGCATGGAGGTGACAGTTGAAGCAGTGAGGGTGATGAGCTTTCCTATGGAGAAGTGTAGAAAGAGAAAACCACGCAGGAGCCACTGAGGAAGGACGTGCTGACTGGCTGAGTGGGCAAGCCTTGGGCGAGTGCCCACCACAGGGCAGAGAGAAGAAGAAGGGTCACGAGGAGCCAGGAGGCCAGGCTGGAGAGGTAGAAGATGGCCCAGGAGAGTGCAGAGGCCAAGGAAGAGGAGCTCAAGAAGGCAGCAGTGCTCCACAGTGCGGCTGCAAAACAGCAAGGAGAAGGAGGCTTAGAAAATGCTGTCAGGGTTTGGTGAGGAGATGTTTGACGACCTGGGAGAGAACCGTTGCGTGGCCTGGAAGCCAGATTGCAGGGGGTTAAGGAGTGAGTGGGTGGAGAGGAAGTGGAGGCAGAGGGTGTAGACCACTCCTTTGAGAAATTTGGCAGGGGAGGCCAGGAGAGAAAAAGGGTCGGGAATTAGAGGGGGAAGCAGAGTCCAGCAAAGGTTTTCTGTACAAGGAAAGTGGAGAGAGGAAAGACAGTATCACAGGCAGAGGAGCACACCTGGTCCCTCTGGCTAAAGGGACAGGGAATAGAAGGGTACTCATTAGCACCCCAAGGTGGGATCATTGCTATGAGCAGGACTGCAGAAGGAACTGAGGCTAGCTCATAAGGGGGCAGGAGGGTGGAAGACAGTGTGGTGTAGGGAAAAGGGCAAGAGCCTTGGCAACCCTCAGGGGAATGGCCTGGGGCCCAGGGAAGGGATGTGGGAGATGTGGAACTAGGATGGAAAGAGAGAAGAGGGGCGAGGCTTGGGATAGGCAAGGGCCCAGGGGGAGGTTCACACGCTGACAAGCACAGAGACAAACTAATTTCCTCGGTGTATCCTGGGGCTGGAGCCAGCTCCCCCGCCACCCTCCTCCCTTTTCCTTCCCTGGCTCCAGAGTAGGGTCTGGGATGTGGAAGAGGAACACGGGAAGAGGGGGCTGGTTCCCCATGGTCCTTGGCTCTTCTGACCCTTCTTCCTTCTCTCCTGGGCTCCCTGAACACCTTTAGACCACTGCCAAATCCATATGGCACAACTACCCTCCACACCCTGAACCCCCTGCCACTATTGGCCTGGGTTCTCTGCAGCCCCCTCCCACTGACCCCCTAAGAGGCCTGGCTAGAATGGGAGAGGCAGACAGTGAGGCCCATGGGTCCAAAGCAGCAGGGCCCCAGGTCTGGGGGCAGAGGCGAGCTGGAACACAGGCATGGGAGGTGGGGCCCCTCCATCCCCACCCAGCCCCACCCGTGCAAGAGACACCACAACACGGTGTAAACAGAAGAGACTTCCCCAGCCCCCAGGGGGAGGCGGGCGGCTGGGCTGGCAGCCAGTGGGGCAATGGGCCAAGGCGGGTGCGAGGCCTGCCCACATGCCTAGTCCTGGGGCCAGGGATGGGGAGTGGGGGGGCACCTAAGAGGGAAGGGCAGGAGATGGGTGAGACAGGGAGACTGCCAGGAGCCAAAGGGCCCTTCCTCATCACCCCCTTCATCATTCAGCAGGACCCTTCCACCATCAGCTCTCTCTTCCCCTAACTCTTTTGCTCACACTTTGCCCAGACACAATGCCCAGACTCCTAAACTGGATACTCACGTAGGTCCCAGCCAAGCTGCGGAGTTGGTGCTCCAGGTAGCGGGTGAGGTCATAAGTTTTCTGGATGGAGGGGCCAGGCCCTGGGTCCCCTGTGCGATTGAGAGCTGGCACTGCAGGGAGGTGCCAGAGCACCGTGCACAGGCAAGCTAACATCCCCCACGAGTCCCCTGTGGACAGGATGAGCAAGAAGCATGAGGGTGGGATCAGGCCCAAGTGGAAAAGCAGCTGGCAGCCCCTCAGGTGTCTGTCCCCATTCTGGACTGGGGGGCGGAGGTAGGGCCAGACACCAGACGGGAGGCAGAAAAAATGGAGAAGAAATGCTCCTGGCCAGAGAGACAGAGAAAGAGAGAGAGGGAGGGAGGGGATGAGACTGTGTATTTGTATGTCTTTCAGCAGGTATTTAAGAGTATATCTGTGTCAGCCGAGTCTTTGCATGTATGTCACTCTGTGTGCTAATGTGTATGTGCAGAAGGCAGGCCAGGCCTAGGGAGTACAGGTCAGTATGCTGGGTTCCAGGTGCACCCTAGCTCCACTCCCAGCCTCCTAGCCCCTTGTAGCTTGGTGGGAGCCGAGAGGTAGGAAACAGCACATGTCAGCATGACACACTAGACCGCCAGGGTTGAAGGACACACATGGGGCTGGCTTAGGGAGTCATGTGGGTATATGCTGGGATATGGCTCTTGGGTGTGAGAAGTATGAGAAGAAGTGAGATTGACAATTTTGTGTCCCCTCAGGGACGAATGGCAGTGTGGAGATCTGCAGCATTGTCATCTGGGGCAATGCCGGCAATGATGGAGGAGGACACAAAAGGGAGAGAAGTGCGTTTGATGAGTTGTGAGCTGTGCTTGTCAGCTGAAGACAATGAGGGACTAGAACATCCCAGAACGTCCAGAGACTTGGGTCTATGCTGTCAGAAGGTCCATGAGCTCGAGGGAAAAATGCTAATTGGCTTTTAGGTGAAGCCCAAGGTCAGGATTAGGTGCACATTTAGGATAGGACCAGGGTAGGGCTAGGTTAGGGTTAAGGACTAGGTTACTTTTAACATTTCAAAGTAGTTTAGACTTGGGATTAGGTTGATTGAGTGTGGTTGAGGTTTGAGTCCACCAGGGGGATGTGGTTTTGTTTGGGCAGGCAGATGGTTAGCTAGGATTAAGGTTTGTGAATTTGTTGATTTAGATGTTAGATGAGGTGATGCTTGACATGTCAGAAAGGAGCAGGGCTAGTTTGGGTTTTAAGCTCGGATAGGTACTAGTCAAGTGGCTTCTTTTCTCTAGTTTGTATTATATACTTCCAAATTTTTCTATAATAATGTGGTTCTTGGGGCTGGGGATTTAGCTCAGCAGCATAAGCGCCTGTCTTGCAAGCAGGCAGTCGTGAGTTTGATCCCTGGTACCGATAAAAACGAAAAAGACCAAAAAAAAAAAAAAAAAAAAGTAATGTGGTTCTTTGACAGAAATAAACTGCCTAGGTTTTTTTTTTTGTCTTTTTCCTTTTTATCGGTACCAGGGATTAAACTCACAACTGCCTGCTTGCAAGGCAGGCGCTTACACCGCTGAGCTAAATCTCCAGCCCCTAATAGTTTTGTTTTTTTGTTTTTTTTTTAACTGCCTAGGTTTAATAATTTGATTATACTTACACTTAGGCTAGGGTTTGGAGTTGCCTCTAGGCCTTAAAGAGAAGGTTAGGATCCTGAACAGTCTGAAAAGACCTTACAGTGCCAGGGATATAGCTCAATGGCATAAGTACCTGCCTGGCAAGCACAAGGTCCTGAGGTCGATAAATATAAAATATCAATCAATAAATAAAAGGTCCTCACAGAGGGCAGGGGATGTTTTTTGAGGTGGCTCAGCTAGTCAGTATAGACTTCTCGCAGATGCCAGGCTGCTTGGATTTCCTGATGGAGTGGGGGTACCACTGGCTGGGGCCCTGCTCTTTTGGGTGAAGGGCTCATGGTAAGTGTGTAAGTGTAGGCTACAGAGCAAGATCAGCAAGGTGAGACACTTAACTACTCCCCAGGAAACAGGTTTCACTGTCCTCTTCCACTTGCAGGCTGTCATTCCTCCTCCTGAAATCTCCTTCCTGTCTCCTTTTCATTGCCTGCTCCCGCCTGACTCAGTTCTTTTCCCTTCCCTGATCCACATGTCCAAAGACCCTTCCAGACCCTTCTCCTCTGCATGAAGCCCTGGGCTATCCTCAGTCTGAGATCTGGCCAACTGCCCTCCAGGATCCTGTGTGTCCCACAGAGGGTTAGTTTTGGAGCCTGGAGACCTGCTGAAAGCAGAGGCAGCAGTGGCCCTTCCAGCCTTGAGGTAGCTTTCAGGGTGATGGAATCTGTCCTTGCTCAAAGTTAGTAGCAATTCCAAGGTCCCACTGAAGCAGAATTCAGAGATGGTGCTAGCCTTTTTACCCGCCCCTGGTCCAGAGAGTTCTGTCACCCAGAGTCCTGGGACTGGTCTTTGTCTGTCTGTCCCATGGTAAGGGGTTCAGCCCTGCAGTTTTCCCCTTACCCTCCTGGGCCCTGTGGGACATCCCTGGGACCTGCTCCCTACACAGGGACAGCAGGGGGAGAAATCTTTGAATAAACAAGAGCTACATCATCTGGACAGAAAAAACGGCTCATGAAATTAACCAGACAAGGCCGGTGTTTCCAGGAATATTTCAGTTCTGAGGTAACTGTGTCACTGCAGGCTGGGGTGGGGGGAGCAGGCAAGCAAGGAGAAGGAGCTGACTGGCTGAGAGAGAAACAGAAAGAGGCAGGGAATCTCAGGACTCACAGGGAGAGGAGGCCGGGAGGAGAAAGGGCAGGTGGAAGGACAGGGCTCTGCCCTTGACTATAACAGTCGCCTTGCTGGACAAGATGTGCCCATGTCTCAGGCAGCAGAGCTAAAAGCCACCTGGGAGAGAAACACCTGAGAGTAGTGAGCGCCAGAGCCCGGGGCAGCTGGGGGGCTCCCTTGGCCCTGGAGAGGAGTGTGCAGTGGGCTTCCTAGGGCCCTCAGCCATTCTCCTTTCTACGTTGTGGTGTGCAGGTGAACCCCGCCGTGGGGCCATGTCACAGGCCCCTCCTCCAGCCCTGGCCCCCCCGGCCCACCCTAGCCCCAGCTCTGCCTCTGGCTGCTGCCCACTGATTGTTTACATCCCCGTCTCCTCGTGTTTATAAATCCAGCTGAGCACGTGAGGAGCTAATGAGTGCAGCTCACATTTCCTGCTGCAGCCCCCTTCTCAATCCTGGCCCCCACCAGGGCCAGTCCCTAATTCCATCCAGATCCCTGGGCCCTGGGAACTGAGGCCCCTCACGAACACACACACACATTGTCTTAGCCCAAGCAAGCGCAGGGCCACCCCAACATGCTACACAGGCAGGCATACCCATGTACGCATCTTAAGCCATCTGCCCCTTAGTCTCTGCCTGTCCTCTAGGCTGACCACACTTAGTGAGGGTGTTGGAGCTCTGCAGCACAGATGTCCAGGGTGGCTGGGGTGGAGACTCTGCACCTGGGACCAGGGACTAAGCTGTAATCCCTAAATATTGAGGCCAGGGAGGCCCTGCCAAGTTTCAGCAATGGCCAAAGGCTGGGCTAATTAAAGAAACCAGAAGGCCCAGCTCTCAGGCCAGAACAGGACCAGTACATAGGTGACGTTGGAGGGGTCTCTTGAGAGAAACTTGGGATGGAGTGACCTAGGGGGTGGTATGTACATTAATGGTGTGAAGTCCAGGCAGTGGGGTTGTAGGATACAGTACCACAGGTGCTTCCTAACCTGCTTGCCCAGGGAGGCCCACAGAAACCCAGCTTTTTCCACTGTCTGCTCTGGATGCCCTCTCCTCTCTTCTTTTCTTTTTTTGTTCTGTTTTTTTTTTTTTCTTTTTTATTGGTACCAGGGATCAAACTCACGACTGTCTGCTTGCAAGGCAGGCGCTTATGCCGCTGAGCTAAATCCCCAGCCCCTTCTGTTTTGTTTTTTGAGACACTCTTGCTAGATAGGCCAAACTGTTCTTTTTTTTTTTTTTTTTTTTTAGTCTGTCTGTTTTTTGAGATAGGGTCTCTATGTAGTCCAGGCTTGCCTTGAACTCACTATATAGCCTAGGCTAGCTCTGAACTTGTTGCAGTCTTCCTACCACATCCTCCAGAGTTATTACAGGCATGCACTGCCATGCCTGGCATCTCTCTTTTGTCTTTACCTTCTTCCCTGTCCCTGGTTTGGTTCCTTCTGACCCAAACTGCTTAGCCTGGAAGTCAGGAGACCCAGCTGTGCCATGATAACTGATAACTTGCATGAGGAGGCTGCACCATGCACCTTAGAGGTCCTCCTAGGTGAAACATGGGGCTCTGTCTCTTCTGTCGTCTCCAGCGTCCCCCTCTGCCCTTCTCTTCCAGCTCAAATAACAAGAAACCCATGTCCAGGGAGAAAGAAGCAAAGGGTGGGCCAGCCCCTGGCTTGTGAAGTCCCTCACCGGGACAGGAGTTGGGCTCTGGATAGAAGAAGGTTCCTGTCTGTGCCACAAGAGGGCCCTGGGTGTGCTCAGGGAGATGAGGGTGAAGGCCAGGGAAGCTGAGCGCCCAGCTGAAGCCAGAGACCGGGGAAAAGCAAAGAAAACTATCCCAGGCAAGTGTGTTGGGGGCAGCTGGAAAAGGCTAGTGCTATCAGGAGTGTGCATGAGGGTATGGGAGGGGCCAGACAGGGTGGCAGGAGCCAGGGTGTGAACAGGCAGGTGGCAGGTGAGATTGTGGGGAGGAATGTGAAGTGTCAGTTGCTGGTTGTGTAGAGGTTGCCATGCCCAAGTGTGAATGGGGCAGATGATGGTGGCCGAGGGGGAACCTTCACTACAGTTGGGAGGGAGTGAACACCTTTGGGACTGACCAGTGACAGTCGCTGCCACCTCTACCTGTTTCCTTCCTTGGTTGACCTTTTGGCTCCAGGGCAGCTGAAATCTTTGAGTTAGTTGGGGGAGCGTATGTGGTCTGTTAGAAAACTATGAACCTGTGTACCATAAAAGGGATGGTGTGCTCAGAAGGGGTGGAGGTCCGTCAGGGGCAGTAAAAGTCCACAGATGTCCCCTAGTCCAATAGGAGAGAGCCAGCCCCAGCCTCTCACAGAGGCTCACGCATCCCACTGCCATGCGCCCTCCTGCCCCTGCCCTGTCCCTGCCCGGGAGAGTTCCGGGACCTCTGGGACCAGGCTTCTGAAGGGAAGGCTTGGAGCCCAGTGTGGAGTTGCCAGAAAGGAAGGTGGGACGGCCGAGCCAGGACGCTGGCGGGACTTGAGGTTTGCTCAGCCCAGGAACTGTGTAGCGGTGGCCACTGGCCACTCGGCCCTCCCTCCGCGGCCGTGACCTCTGGCTCCCGGACCCCTCCCGGCGGCAGTGGCGCCTTCCCCCTGTGTGGCCCCGGCGCCCCCAGCCCCGCCCCTCGCCCGCTCCCGCCCGGTCGCTCCCTTCCCGGCGGGGGCGGGGGCCGGGTCCCCAGTGTGGGGCTCGGGACTCCGGGCTCGGCCCGGCCATTGCCCTTTCCCGCGCCGCAGCTCTGCCCAGTCTGCCCTCCTCCGTGAGCCGCCGGGCCGAGTGGCCGTTCCCGCTGCTACCAGCGGCGCCCGCCGCTCCCGGCCGGTGACAGACTTTTTCCTGCCGGGTCCGGCCGGGCTGCGCCCGCCCCCCGCGGTAATCACTCCCAGGCTGGCGGGCCAGGGGCTCGCTGCCATCTGTCGCTCTGCACCCGGCCCCTACCTGCCGCTGGCTCCTCGGCCGCGGGTAGCATGGAGGGCTCCGGCCGCGCCGTGCGCAGCGAGCCACTGCGAGTCCCGCGGCCCAGCCAGGCTCCCTCTGCCCTCCGCCCTCCTCTCCGTCTCCCGCCCGCCCTCCTCTCCCGCCCGCCTTCCCCTCCCGGCGGGCCAGGGAGGGAGAACGGCCCGAGGTGTCGGCCTCCCTTCGCCCCCCGCCGGTCCAGCCCGGCCCGGCTCCCCCTGCCTCGCCCGCCCTCTTCCTCTCTCCGATCCCCTCCCTCGCACCGCGTCTCCCCCGGCTGCCTCGCTCCCCTCCTTGGACTCGCTCGCCCGGACTCTGTCCGCCGGTTCCCTGGGACCCGTCTCGGCGGGACTCAGGTTGCCGCCTCCCCAGGTCGGCGGCCGTCTGAGCTCCCTGCTGCACTCCCGGCCACTCCTGGCCCCGCGCTGCGGACTCCAGGAATGCCGCGTCCCCGCCCGGCCCCTCTCGAGGGCGCCCAGCCGTGCCTCCCCCAGCCCGAGACCCGCTCCTCAACCGGGCCCCGGCGTAGGGCTCCCTGGGATGGGGGAGAGGACGGGAACCGGATCTTGCGGCTGCCGGGCGGGGGCGGGGGCCAGGGCCTCGGATGCCTGGCTCCTACCTGCTCGGAGGTCCATGGGGCTGGGGGCCGGGCCGGCCGGGTGCGGCTCCTCTCCCAGAGGCTGGCGGAGTGGGAGGGCGAGCCGCGGCTCCGGCGAAGCTTTAATAATCCCATCCGCCAGGCCCACTCGCAGGTTTTTTTCCTTCGGTTTCGGATTTTTTTTTTCGGTGTGGGACATTCTGCAAACTTTTTTTTTTTTTCTGACGTGTAAAGCTGTAACCACAAATTGTAGCAGCCTCCCCGGGGTGGGGGGAGGAGGGGGAAGCGGGAAGGGAGGGCTTCTGGGGCTCCTCTCCCTCCCACAACACTGAGGGGGGGTTGAGGTGAGGAGAGGCTGTGGCGGTACCACCCTGGGCCTCCTGGGGGAGGGGGCAGGGAGGGCATGGGTCCGTCTGCAGACTCCCCAGAGCCAGGGCTGGGAGCTAGCGCTGATGAAGGAGCCATGGGCTTCTCCCTTGATGTCAGCTAGGGACGCCTGCCCCCAGCTCCTGCCTAGTTTGGGATTCCTGGGCCCACCCTACCTCAGCTTCATCTCTAACCTTTCGTCCCCCTCACCCTCGAATAAAAGCAATGACACATTCTCCCAAATGCCAGCGAGCTGGCCACGGAGCAAGTGATGGTGTTTTTCCTGTTGCCCTTTGTCTGGGCTGACCGCCCCCCTTGCCCATTGTCCCGCCACTTGTCCCATTTCCAAAAGCTAGAGCTAAGTGAGGCGCCAGGGGCTGGGGCAGGTGACTAACCAGCTCACAATGTCCCTGGGGGGAGGAAGAAGGCACCAGGGCCCAATGCCCAGCTTCTCCCTTGAGTTCACAAGGTTCTCCATTCTTCCCAGTGACCAAGGAGAGTGCACATGGGTGGGGGATTTGCGATTCATTAATCAGCACGAGGCATCGGACCAGTTTCAACACCAGAGGCATCGCTGGTGACTCAGCGAGAATGTGCAGATTTGAGGCCATGGACAGTCCAGGCATCCCATCCAGTCCGGTCTGTGAAATGCTTCCCCATCGAGACGTTTGGCATCCTCCTGCCTTTGGGGTTTTGGGTTGTTGGTTTTTCCGGTGGTGAGGTAGGGGTGGTTTGGCTGTGGAGTGCTCTCCCTCCTTCCTCCCCTTTGGCCTCAGTTGGGACTTGCTGGGCGGAGACCTAGGGGACCCATAAGCCTAGACCCTCCCTGGAGGGTCTCCTTCCTCCCTCTCTAAAGGGCTGCCAGGGAGAGTGAGTGAGTGCAGAGGAAACAGCTGTCATCTGGGGCTTGTAGACAGCCCCACTTTGCGGTTTTTCTAGGGGGACAGTCATTTGGTCCCCAAGTCCTGGATTCTCTAGAAGCATTCCACCAATTAAATCATTTAGTAATAAGTTGCTTTGTTGTTTTGTTGTTTATCTGTTGTTTGAAAGGGGAAGAAGGCGGTGGTAGACAGACCTGGAAGGTGATGCTTCTGTCTCTGGAGTGGCCTCATCTCCCATTCCTGCCGCTGCCCCTGGAAAAGGAGGGCACTCTGCCAGGCTGACACCAGCCCTCCAGCCTGTAGGTCATAGTAGACATCATCGATGACCAGGGCTGGGTTCCCAGGGCAGCTCTTCCCTTTTCTGCACAGGAGAACTGAGGGGGGGGGGGAAGAAGTTTGTTTTCAATTACCTCACTGGAGTGGGACAGACTTTGTTGTGGGGTTGTTTCTCCTTGTTTCCCCCCTCTCCCTTTCTTCCTTTCTCTTTCCTTCCTTTTTTTTTTTTTTTTTTTTTTTTTCTAAAAAGAGAAAATGGGCTGGGGATGGAGAACTAGTCTAGGTGGGGGGCAGGGGACTTTCTGGAGCATCAGTAGCCTGGCTCTGATGAAAAGTGCCTTGGAGGGGCCCTTGCGAAAAGTGCTCAGGGCCTCCCTCCTCCATCTCTCCACTCCACCCGCTAACGTCCACCCCCACCAGCCAGGACTCTGGAGTTTCAATGACGTTCTTCCCCTGTGAGCCCAACAATTTTTTGATACCCACGCCAAGGTCAAGAAGGCAGACGGCCATGGGTGACTGGCACTGAGGCTACTCTGGGAGGTCCCCCTAACAGTCCACCCTTTCCAAGAGAGGGAGCCAGGGAGGGAAGGGGATAGGATAAGGGAGAAGGGGAGAAGTTTGCACCCTACTCCTTGCTGTGCAGCCCTGCAGCTTGCTCCTGGTGAAAGGCTGCACAGACAATGTGGTTTGGATTTGGCTGAGCCCCTCAGCACCTTATAAAGCACCTTGCTGAGTCAGGGGGAAAGCAGCCCCAATGCAGAGGAGGAGGGGGCTGGGAGAGAAGGGGGAAGAGGGAGCTGAAGTGGGGGGAGGACAAAGGGAAGAGGAGGGAGAAAGAAGAAGGGACCAGGGTAGGAAAGAGGAGACACAAAGGCAAATGGGTGGGAGCAAGAACTTGGGGAGGAGACTGGAGCTGAAGGAGCCAGAGGGAAGACCCTGGTGAGGAGGAAGAGCGGAGTGTGCAGTGGAGCTGGGCTCTGCAGCTTTGCCTCAGCTGGCTGCAGCAGATGTTGGCCTTGGAGTCTCCAAACATGGGTCCACAGGAACAGGGCTGCACCTCTGGCAGACCCGGGCCAGGTAAGGATAGGACAACTGGCTTTACGCACAGTGCCCAGGTCCGTTTTTCTTAATCCAGTGACCCCCACAAGCTGGGAAAGTCACATTCTCCCTCAGCCTGGTGTCCTGTCTAGACTTGCCTCCCTGTCCTCTCCCCTCACCCAGTGGGGGCCAAGCTTCTCCCCTCCCCCTCTCCATACTGCCAAGGGGAAAATAAACTCCATCTCCAAGCTGCCAGTGCCCCTTTGCCATGTCTGGGCAAAGGCAGCAGGCTAGGAGCTGCCAGTTTGGGTGGGGTGGGGGCTGAAGCAAAGACTGTACCTTACTCTGCCAAATCCCCAAGGCGGGTGGGCTGCTGGAATTTGGGTGAGAAGGAAGAAGTGATGAAGCCAGGAGTGGCATCTCTAGGAACCAACACAGGGATAGGTGATTGGTGGCTGGAAGACTCAGAAAAGGTCCCCCTCCCCAGAGGCTCTCAAACAGAACCTTGTTAGGGCCCTTCCAGCTCCAAAAACCTGGGAGTGCTAGTGGGTAGAGCAGGAGCTGGAGGAGACACTCCTTATCTCCGGATAGCATCCTTAAGGAGAAAGAAACATCCTATCCATCCTATGGGACATATAGGAACTTTCTCTGTCCCTACTGGGTGCTAATCCTATAAAAGATGGGATGAGGAAAACCCTTTGAGAATTTCAGGCTTGGAACACAAGGTTGCAGACGTGAGATGTCTCATGCTGGAGATTGGCCACAGGTGGTAGGCACAGTGCCTTTAGGGCCAAGGAAGATGTGAAAGAAGAGCTAGTGGAGAAGGGGGAGCTTCAGGTAGAAACGTAGTGTACTGAGCAGGGAGGGTCATACAGGGCACTGCCCACACCGCTCCCTTCACAGCAGGGAGCCAGGCTGGGAGTCAGAATACCTGGCTTCTAGTTGGCCACTTGTGAACAAGCCTGTCCCTGCCTCTCTATAACCAGCATTGCCCTCTTCTCCACAGGATATTGGCAGTATTCAGGTACTCAGTGGGCTGATGAAGGGGACGCTAGTTTGTCACCTTCTCTGGCCTTCCAGACTCCGAGGTGAGGCTTAGCATCCATAAAAGAGAAGCCCTAGAGGTATGGCATGGTGGGGGGCAAAGCTGCCACCAGGTGATGACTGAGCTGCCCTCCAAGGAGTGGAGGTGAGTCAGTGTTGGCTCAGAAGCTGGCTAATGTCCCACTTCTCCCTCCCATCCCTTCTCCCTTGTCTCCTTTCCCTCCTTTGTCCCATAACTCACATCCCTAGGGAAAGTGTTCCAGGTAGCCCCAAACACCAGGTCCTGCAACCACCATTTGAAGAGATGTTAGCCCAGGGAAGGTCTGGGTTCCTGAACTAGGGGTTGGGCGATTCCACAGAGGTGTGAAGGGACATTCACTCATCAGACATCCTTGAGTGCCTCCTGTGGAGGTGCTGGGGACACAAAGAGAAGCCCTAGGGGGCCACAGGGTAGAAAAGTAGGGCTGGCTCCCTCACCACTAGGTGGGACAGAAGGAGCTTTCAGGTCCCTGGTAGCCTGCTGCCTTGCTGGTAATTTTCACTGACAGTTACCTTTCTACTTAATTTTTTTTTTTTTTTGGTCTTTTTCATTTTTATTGGTACCAGGGATCGAACTCATGACTGCCTGCTTGCAAGGCAGGTGCTTATGCTGCTGAGCTAAATCCCCAGCCCAGTTAGCTCTACTTAAATAATAACAGTTTGAATGGACTGTGCTCCTCCCCAGGGGTATAGTGCTGTGGCTTTTCAGGTGCCATTTCATTTCATCTTTACAAGAATTCTACAAAATAGTTGCTGGGGACTGGGTATGGTGACACACATTTAATCTTAACACTCAGGAATATGAGGCAGGAGGATCACTGCATGTTTGAGGCCATCCTGGGCTACACAGTAAATTCCAGGCCAGCCTGAACTATATAGCAGGGCCCCTTCTCAACAAACAAACAAGAAGAAGATAGGAGCCATTACCTTATTTCTACATGAGGAAACTGAGAAGTCTTTAAAGTCACACAACCTGTAAGGAACAGAACCAGGACTGGAAGCCAGCACTGCTTGACCTCAGTGACATGTCATTCTTTTAGGTATTCCTGGGGACTGGAAAGGTCCTCTAGTACCTGGAAAAGAGAGTAACCTGGGCTCTCCCCCTCCCAACTAATGTGAACTGACTGTGTGTGACACTGGGCCAGGTACCTCATTTGGCCTTCCTGTATCGGCAAGAGGCCAAACCCTGAGACCGCTGGAGAGCTCAGCTCAGATTCTGGATTCCATTAACAGGGCTTTTGGAACCGTGGAATAAGCATTCAACTCATGAGCTAGGAGTTAGATGACCACTCACCAACACAAGCAGAGCAAAGGGTTCCTCTGCTTCCAGGAGGCTATACTATCGAGTTGGCAAAGCGAGGCCCTCAGTCCACTTCAGAGGCCTAGCCCAGGACACCTCCTGGGATTCTGCATCCCTAAGAGGAGCCCTCCTTTCCAGCAGCACATGCGCACATCTTGCAGGGTACATGTGTGTACCTGTGTGTGCAGGCCAGGGCACTGAGGGCAGGAGGAGGGCGGGAGAGTGGGCACTTTCCCTTTCCCTCCAGCAAGTAGGAGCCCAGAGAGCCCTGTCTCACCCTGAGCTGGCTGTGATGTCAGTGGAAACCCCAGGGCAGAGGGCTCCTCTTACCTGAGCAACAGCCCTGCCCTGCACTGGGTCTTCCTCCCACACCTGGCCCAGCTCAAGGACAACCCCTTTCTTCCCCTCTGAAGCCAGAGGGACACTAGGAGGCATCAGGTTCTGCTGCCACTTCTCCAGTATACCACTCAGCCTTTCTCCATTAGCTAAGGTATCTGAATGATGGGTGTGTGAAGAGGGAGGAAGCAGAATGGATACCCCCAGGGGCTTGACTCCTCCCTTGCCCACCAGGAGCCTGCCACTCTCCCAGGATGTTCCATTGCCCTGACCAACCCATGCCGCAGGCTCTGTGACTCTGTCTCCCCTGGCAGAGGAGTGGGGTTACCTCTCCCTGGGCTGGAAGATCCTTATCCTGCCCTGCTGAGTCACTGCCCTGCTCTCCTTTCTCTCCCTCTCCATCCCCTCGCAGGTTTGGGAGCATTGTAGGCTTAGAGACCAGAGAAAGAGGGCTTGCTTCTCCTTTAACAGCTGCAGGACCTCGAGCAAGTCACTGTACTCCTTCACTTCTGAGCTCTCTATACTAGGGATGATAGGTGCACAATATACTCTTTCTCCTCATGGTCCCTAACCAAGCATCTGCAAAGTTCCAGCCATTAGTGGTTGCAAACTTTGTTAAATAAGACAGGACTTTAAGAAGGGTACTTGAGGCTGGGGATATAGCTCAGCAGCATAAGTGCCTGCTAGGCAAGTGCAAGTGAGTTTATCCTGGGGACAAAAAAAAAAAAAAAAAAGCAAAAAACTGGGGTACATAAAGGAGGAGATGTGCAGGAAGACTTCACAGAGGAGCATGGAGG